GTGTGGGGAGGGTGCTGGTGCACACTGCCATACCTTAATAGTGGTATTGAAGTGTTAAGTCTTGCAGTAGATGTGTATGGTACAGCAACAGGTTGAGTACAAAAGCCTTTTTTTCTTTTCTTCCTTTGCACTTGAAGGCGTTGGGAGGGTCTTTTTTGTAGTGCTGATCCTCATTTGCTTCCTGTGTGGTTGCCTGGTTTGTTATGTGTCTTACTAAGGCTTCCTCAGCAGCAGTGTAAAACTCTTCTTTCATGGGAAAGCTTTTTATTATATGACCAGACAACTGGCATGACATATTAAAAAAGATGGAAAAAAACCCCAAGACAAAACCAAAACCACAAACCAAAATGGGAAAATGGATGAATCAGTTTTCCTTACCTGATGGCCAATTCTCCAAGTACAGTGGCTGAGATGCAGACAAAATGTAGGAAAGAGTTGTTTGGGGGTGGCTGTTGAATCTCATGGCTTTCATGAAATAAATTGCATAAAATTACAGTCAAATACTTCTCCTCAGTTCCCCAGGATATGTTTTCTGTGCCGTTTTAAAGGGGCCTAATTTACTGCACAGAGAATATCTTTGTGTAACTTTTAGAACAGTAATGAAATCACTTCTGAAGAAGTTCAATGAAAATTACCCAGACTTTGCTTACAGTCATTCAAATTTATAAGAAATTAAAACTATGAATGACTTCTTTCTTTTCCTATTTATAAAGGTTATTTTCATTTGTGCTTTATAAATCAGCTTGACTAGAGTATCTCTGTGCTCTATATAAGTGGCATGCTTTTGGGCTGTTTTCAAAACCAAGGTATTAAGTTCATCTGGGTGCAAAACTTCTGCTAGGGAAGTGTGTAGCAGAGATTAAATGAGAGTTGTATTCCAAGGGTAGATAATGCCTGGTTTGTGTTGGTAAATCATCTGAAGAACTGATCTTTAGCCAATAAATTTAGATTTAATTTGCAGCATGAAGGGGAGAAAAATCTGGTCACTTCATCATATGGTCAAATTTTATTTAAAGGGGATTCATGCAATATATATGCCTGTAATATACCTGGTCAAAAAACCTTAAATACCAGGTCTTGTCATATATTCAGCATTATTTGCTATGAAGTCAGTGATCTGTGCACATGGGTAGAAATCTAGATAACTAGATAACTGCAGGAAAGCTAAATTTTTTTGGAAAGAGATTGGTGACAACTTAATCATTTTGCAAGACTCTAATTTAGGGTTTCTCTGCTCATGCTGTTTAGCTGCAGAAATCCTTTGACAAGGGCATGTTACCCTACTTTTGCAGCTGAGTTGGAGAATGACGTTAGAAAGAGAGAGAACTGTCTATTAAGTGAAATTAGGAAACAGTGTGCTTTCTGCTCTGCTTTGCTGGCTGCACAGAGTCACTGTGGAAAATCCCTTGCTGGGCAGAAATTTGGTCTACAAATCAGTTTAGTGTCAGGAGCAGGCTCTGTGACCAGCTCCATAGTTAGAGAAGAGTTAAAGACATTTCAGCTCTTGAACAATGAAGTTCAATGCCTGTGCAGAATTTTCCTTGGAGAGATGTGTAATTAAAATTTCTCTGGAAGATCTGCTTAGTTGTGGTCTCATCAGCTAATTGTGAGACAGCAGAGTTGTTGGCTAATTTCAAGTGATTTTTAGTAGTCATAGTCATAAAACTTAGGATATGTAAGTTGTGTTGCCAGCTCTGACACTCACTTCCTGCTGTGACCACAGCCGAGTCACTGAGGTTGTCAGGGATGTGTCCTTTTCCAACTGCAGCTCTGACAACTGAGGGGTTTTTGTCCCCAGCCTGCCTTGCATGTGCTCTGTGATCTGCTGACTGCACAGCTTCTGTGCCTTCTCCGTGGCAAATGTCAACAAAACAGAATTGAATCTCTGTGGACTGCAAATTTAAGCTGTTTTAGCTCCACAACTGCACCTGTAAACTTGTATGGCCTGAGATTCTGATTTATTTGGAAAGTAAAGTTCTTGCTTTTAATCATCTGAGCCTGCTTCAGTGGAGGTAGTCATTCTGATAGAAGTGCTTGTGCAGTGAGACTGGAGTTGTACAGAGGTCCTTACTCTTCATCATAAAATGTCATCATACTCATCAACCTTCCAGATGCTGAGATAGTGGCCTAAAAAGGGCATATAAAAATTCAGTGATATCCTAGTCAGTCAGTAATCTTTGATTTATCTTTTAATAGCGTTCAGCGAGTGGCATGCAGGTTAGCATTTATCACTGTCAGAAAGAAGACTGCAACTTGTTTTCTCTGCTCTTTGTGGTTTTTTTCCTTGCTTTACATCTGTTTGATTTAGAGTGGAATTTTTTCAGGCTGTAGAGTCTGACTTTCCAAAGTGAGGATGTCTGGCATTTTGTGAGTGCCAGACATTTTCTGAGATGTAGAAGAGAGCTGTGCACGAAGTCTTACTAATTAGGCACCTTTTTTCTTGCCTGAAAAACACTTTTATTTGTGGCATCTTCTGGATTGATTTAGAAATACTGTGTCACTAATGTCAGATATCCAAAATGCTTCTGCTACAAACACTCTTCTCTTTAAATTTTGTGTCAGCAGTTAACAGGTACATTTTTTTTTTTCATCTTCCTTTCATGCTTGTATTCTTTTCTTAAAGCTGTGAACAGTTCCTTGCATTTTGCTTTTGGTATCCTGTGTATTTTTTCCATCCTTTCCCCTATCTACTTTTTGTCTCCCTGCTCCACTCTTATCTTTAAACAAGTTTTCACCCTGGAGCATGTGACTAGACCAGCCTTCCACTGCTTGTCATCTAAAGTTTATTCTCCTTCAAATCTCTTTGAAAAATTCCCCTTCCTTTCTTTCTCCCTTCATTATTCTGGACCTCTTTCTTTCTCAAGCAGAATGTTTCTGTAGTAATGATGCCAAACACAAACATTTGTATGTTTGAGAGGATTTTTTAATTGTTCATTTATTTTAAAATGACACCATCCTGAATGTTAACATACCTAATGACCTGTGTTAGAGATATTCATGGATTAAAAAGAAATTAATTTATGGTTGCACCAATCATTTTTTATGTCAGTCATTGTGCTCACTTCATCTTCTGTAGTTAACTGGTACAGAAGTATCTTCTTCTGGAGTTCTGTGAAGTGTCACTTTTTTCACATGGATAAAACTCTGAGCCTCATTCACAAGTGGAGCAAAACAACTGCAAATGCAGTTTCCTCACCTGCAGTGGTGGAATTGATAATGCCCTTTCTAGCAAAGGACACCACCAGTTGTCCTTGCACTTGGCATCAAAGAATAAGGAGATTGTGTAAACTCTGCAAGTTGGTTCTAAGATTAGGAATGTGTGTGATGCTGGTGCTGGAATTCACCACTTTGCAGACAGTCATTGACTCCCAATCAAACAACAGTTCCAAATTTAATTTCACTAGTTTATTTCATGCCTAAGAGCTTTCTGCCTTTTTTCTTTAGTAGTTTTCTTGGCCTGTAATCTGAATTATTACTGTTTGGTTGTCTTCTGCCATCACCTGCTTCTCCGGGTCAGAACATTATTGCTAGGAAGGGTTCTGGTGAGTCATGTAGCCCCAGGAAAGGCTCAATTAAACATAGACTTGAATGACCTAGATATTAGCCCTTGTGTTACAGACATTGCAACCTTTCCTCATGACTTGTTTTGGTATTTAATTATTCCTTTCCACAACAAAGGAATTTGTTTGCTTTCCAATACCCAGACTGAAGTTTTCTTACCTGCAACTTAAGCCTGTTTATTTCTGTTCTTCTTTGGCCTTCAAAGCCCCCATTTTCTCAATGGAACAGTCTTCTGTGTATCAGGAGGTTTACTAGGATATCCCAAGTTTCCTCTCCTCCAGGCTAAATGACTCTAATTTGTTTGCTCTTTAGATTGTTCAGCCTTGCGTTATATGTCATGTTTTCAGGATCTCTTGGAGCTCATGTTGCACTCCTCTGGGTGCTGTCCAGTTGGTTCACAGTGCTTCAGCTGTGGCTCCCGCTCCTCCTGCAGCCTCCTCTGCAGTGAGGGCCTTTTTCTCAGTGGGGTGATGTGGATGACTCATGTCTAGCCTGTGATCTATTATAGCCTTTGACATTTTTCATCAAAATTCCTTTACGGGCTTTTATTCTCTTTTTCGGGATGCAGTTTCTTTGTGCTGGATCTTTGTGTTCCGTGCATCTGGTTGGTCAAGAATTTTCTCTTGGTGTTCTTGCAGTCCCAGGGTGGTATCATCTGCAGGTTTAACACTTGTGTTCCACTTCTCTTGAAGAAGCAGATGATGAAAACACTGACCATTAGACCTGCAACAGGGCTTTGATTCCCAGGGACCTCACTCAGATCATCTGTTTTGGCAGGAAATTATTGATAAGTATTGCTGAGTATGCTTTTTCTTTTTTTTTCCCCATGGGTTTGTTTTCACTGTTGCACCATTCAGGTACGAATTGGTGGTAATGGCAGGAAATCACATTTGAAATGAGACAAAATATTAGTTCTTGGAGATAGAACTTGTTTGGAAAAATACTGCTGTCTGGTCAGATGCATATGCTTTTGGCTTTTCTCTGGTGAGAATCTTTTCAAAATCCAGTTACACAGCATAGTAGTATAGCTTATATGTTTTGACCTTTTATTTTTCTCAATAAACTGTTTTATTAGGGTTATCATGAGCACAGCTGTGAAGTTTTGTAAATTATTTCTGTTTCTTCCTTTTTAAGTTTTGCAGGGTTTCAAGTCTGCATGGTAGCAAGTGTTCTCTAGCCTTGAGACAGCGTTTTTTCCTTTCATTTTTTCAGAATGAGTACACAACCTCAAAAGTAAGATTTTGGTTTTTTTTCCCCACAGTTTTTGAAAATTGTCTGGACACAGCAGACTTCAATTTTATACAGTAATTTTCTTTACTCTTTGAAAATGGCTGCTTGCTATCTTTTCCACAGAATGTCCTTTTCTACAGAATTTTACAAAACAGCAGTTAATAAAATCAACTTTCTTGATTACCTCTTTTTTTTATTTTATGTTCTAGGGTTTTGACCCACCGCATCAAAGCGACACAAGAACTATTTATATAGCAAACCGTTTTCCCCAGCATGGCCATTATGTTCCTCAGAAGTTTGCAGACAACAGAATCATATCATCCAAGGTAAGGAATCAATTTGTCATGGCAAAACCACTTGATGTGTTGCTTAAGAAGTTGTGTGGCAGATGTGCATGCCTGTATTATTTCTAGTGATGCATATACAATATTCAGAGTGAAACAAACTCTGAGCTGTTTTGAGAGAAAAGCTGGGTTGCTTCTTGTGTAGTTTGTCTCATCCTCTCACCCTTCTTTCCTCAAAACTCAAGTACAGAGCAATTAAGCAAGTTGGTCAGGCTTTCTGAAGAAAAGTAGTTTTTCATTCAGTGTTACCAAAACTACTTAAAAGGCAGGATGAAGCTGGTTATGAGGATTTTTAAAATAGCCAAATTGAAATCCAGTACTCTGCATAAAATAAATCAGCAGTGGACTGCAGTTGCGGATTCCCTCCCGGTGTGTCCTTGGATTGAAATCAATAGAGCTGATGGTGGGGATGTGCCTCCTTGCTGTAGTGTTGGAGGCAATGTTACAGCTGCAGGAATTAATTTCTTTCCTCCTACCCAGAACACAAGCGGCCAAATGACTCCAGCTGCCCCTGTCCCAGTTGGAGGAAAACATTTTAAACTTGGCCTGTAGAGGAAATGCAGTTGCTACCACTGCTTCCCTGCTAACTGTACTTAAAACAGAAGGAATAAAAAAAAAGAACAAAAATTGGATACAGCAGCAAGGTCTGGGGGAGGGGACATGGGGAATGAGAACATTTAGGTTAGGAGAGTTCAATGGGAGCAGAACTGAATTGCACTGAAAAATTGTGCATTGCGTTGTAATTATTCATCTCTCTCCTTTTTTCCCCTTTAGTATACAGTATGGAATTTTGTTCCAAAAAACTTATTTGAGCAGTTCAGAAGAGTAGCCAACTTTTATTTTCTCATTATATTTTTGGTTCAGGTAAGTTGAATAATACTCAAGAAATTGCAATTTTTGTTGTAAGTTTTGCCGCTGATCTTTGTTTTATGAATTTAACTTCTCTACTTATATATTCTGTCTATAAAAAGAATACATTTCCAGTTTCTCCAGGAAAAGAACATGAATATAACTTTAAAAATAATTATGTCCAAATTTAAGTATTATCCTTAGGTTTTACCTTCATGAATGCTAATGTGTTTAAGTGTGCACCTTCAAAGTCTATTGCTCAGTCAGCACAGGGTTTCAGTTGTCTCCCTCCAATACAACTTTAAAGCTCTTAAGGGAGTAATGAAATTCCAGATATGCTTCTTGTCTTTGTGGGCGTTGGTGGTGTTTGAATGTTTGTATATTTCCACTGTAGGTGGTTGTCATTAACAGACTATTGTGATATAGTTCTAAGATCCTCAAATTCAATTTGTTCAGATAAAATGAACACACAGTTATTACAGGTAAAATCAATAGTTTGCCAGTTTTGAAGACCTCAGTTAGTGCTGTTATTGTTACAGTTTATGTCAGAAATATTGTTGTGGCTTTTGTAGCTGATTGTATTTCTTTTCATTAAGAACACCCACAAGTAGATTAGGACAATCTGTACATTTTCTATGACCATTGCCTCTCCAGCTCTGTCATGTACCTGAATTCTGTGGAGCTGTTGTAGGCTTAGTAGATGATGGATAAATGGGAGAAGGGTTCAGAGGAGAGATAGTAACTTTTGAAATACTAATTAATATCTGAGGCAGAGACAAGATTTTGGGGTACACAAACTTCTCTTTCATTATAAAATAGAATTACTTGAACATGTACAGCCCTGTACAGTGATTAACCAACATTTAGAGTGTGCATATGAAAAAGATGGCACCTCGTTTGACAAAGAATGGGGATAGTGAAGAATTCAGAAAACTTGTCTGTGGTTGTGTAAGGTGTCAGTATCAGGGCCAGGCCTGCAGCTTTTAATCCATTGCCTCCTGTGTCCCTTGATCTTGTTCTTTCACATTTAAAAAGAAGAACATTCCTAGGCTGAAAATTCCTATGCTGGACTAAAGTCATACAGTTCTAACTTAGGCTCACAAAATGTGTTGTCTGTCACATCTTCCTTAAGATGTTAAGAATAATGACTGTATAATGTTAAGAATAATGACTGTATCATTCCTCTTGTAATGTTTCATGCTGTTTAACATACTGTAGTATGAGGGAGATGAGAATGTGCTGAAGATGGAACATAAGTGTTATTAAAGTAACCACAGACTTTTACACAGAAGTAAAAGCATGGCTTTTACTTCTTTTTAGTGCAGATTTATCTCTTCAGTTCAATGTTGTGTCATAGTTCTTTCAAACTATTGCCTTTCAGTAGTATCTAAATAAGGATCTAAGGCAGAAATTCTGTTCTGAGTGTAGTCCTGTCCTCTCAGTTTGTATCAAGTGGATGCCCTCACGTGTATGGGAACTGTCTTCTTGTCTGTGTGTCTGCGTTCTTGGAAACAGAACAGCAGAAAAGTTGAAGTCATTTTTGTTCATTTATTAGAATGGAATTCTGTTTTTATTCAAATCCCTTTTGGTGGAAGTTCACTAATATCTAATATTTTTATTTTTATGAGGCTAAGCTGCCTTTTAAAGCTGACACCATGGAACCTTCCCTGTCCTGTCAATCTCGTGTGGCCAAGATGCAGTGTCTGTCATTACCACCTTTTCCACTGGGGATGGCAGAGCTGGGGCAGGGTCTCATTGTGTGATTTCAACTTGCAGCACAGTCCAGTCCACATTGTTCACCACACATGTGCATGCCCAAAACAAGGTGACAGACTGCATTTTGGTGACACGAGGTGTGTCATGGCTGTGTGTCCAGCTGCGTGGCAGGCAGAGGACCATGGTGTCCTAGTAAAACATGACAATTCCACCAGCACAAAACCTGTTTCATTTTCATATATGAGCTCTCTTGAGAAAGGATGAGAGAGTATAGACGGCAGAAATGCCATGATTAACATATCCAGCTGAAAATCAGATGCTTTTGGTAGGGTTTTTCTTGGTCAGTATGCTGCCAAGCTGAAATTGTAGTGCTACCATTAAAGAACAGACAGTATTGCAGGCTAGGTCTCATTTTTGTTGTGTTCTATAAATTGTCTGTTTCAGTGAAAAAAAACAACCAAAAACCTTATGTGTGCATTGTAAAGTGGCATGATATGTTTTTTCTGTGAGGTCCTTCCCCAGTGATAGAGTAAACTTCATGTATGACTTTTTTTTCTTCTTTAATGATTCCCAAAGCAATGCCATAAGTCTCAGGTAAAGTGGATCAAATCAATGTCTGTGGTTTTGAGTAGTTCTTGTGTATATCTCCTTTACAGCACTTGACCATGTTGATTTTTTCCTGCAGCAGAAGAGAACCACTAACATCCCCCCACATACAGAACCTTAGTGTGTACACTGCACTTTTGGCATGCCAGCAATAATTGCACAAATTGTAAAAACCGCATGTTAACTTGGGGCAACCAGAAAGGTGCAGTCTTAAAAAAGTGTTCTCTAATATCTAAATCATTGAAAATTACTGATCTTAACTTTATTTTCACTTCTAAAGTGGATGATGTTATACTCTACATTGCTGGTAAGCAGTAGATTGTATAGTGTTGAAACAGCTTTATGAAGTATAGTTTTCTTTCCTTTGTAATATTCTTTTGAATTCATTTTTCTAGGATGAAATTAATACCTTCTTTTTGGTAAGGACCTTTAAAATTGTCACGTCCCATACTAAGGCTAAGAATGTGACTAAGGCTGCTCTGTGCCCTAAAACATTTGTTTTCATCATTACTGACATATTATTTAGTTGTCAGAAACTGAGTTTTGCTTGAGAAACTCTGCAGGACATGCAGTAAAAATACTCACAGGTTATAATAAACAGTTTGGAAAATAGTCGTCTTGCTTCTTTTTTTTTTTTTTTTTTTTTTTGAAAGTACAAATGTAAAAATGACATTTGGACTAATTTTCATATTTTCTTTTCTTTTAGCTCATGATAGATACCCCTACCAGTCCTATTACCAGTGGATTGCCATTATTCTTTGTCATAACTGTGACAGCCATAAAACAGGTAAAGGGAAAAAATCTGGCAGCGTGAAGTCCTACTGAAGTAAAGTTACTTAACAGAGTCTCACCAGGATAGTGCTTAGATACTAAAAATACATTAAAATGGTGTAATTTTTAGAAACTATTTTGGGTTTAATGCTTCTAGTTAGATGCTTGAGCTTCAGCATTTGGTTGGTTGTCAAGCACTCAGTGACTCACTGCAGTACCCTAAAATGGACAGTGGATGACTGTCAGGCAGCATTTCTGTCTAAACATTACATGTCACTTGTTATCAGACCTTTTCCAAAAGCTCCTCACTCATTCCTTTGGCACACCTCACTGCCTGTTAGAACCAGTCCTCCCACATCACACCCTGAGAAAGGAGCTTGGGCAGATGAAACAGTGATGCAGGGTGTGTTTGTCAGTAGTTAAAAGGCAAAAGGGGTAAGTTTTGTCGTGTAAAATGTGTATTAACTGTGATTCTGTACCAGGTAAAAGCCCCTGGTCTTCTTCAGTTGCATAAAACATTTTGGAGTGTTTTATAGCACTTAAAATAAGAAAAATCATCTGAGTTTAATAGAAACCTTGTTCCAGCACCATATTACATCCTACTGAGACCTAGAGCATCTGGAATCAGAATGTAAAAATAAAAAAAAAAGAAAAAGAAAGTAAAAAAAGGTCTTCTGTTTTCTTTATGTCCTTAAAGCAAGAGGAGAAAGAAACAAGCTCATAAATAAAGAAGTGATGTGGATAAAAATTATAATCTCTTCTGCAGGGAGGTTATTTTCAGGAACTATCCTCTTCAAGGGATTTGACAGTGCTGTCGGGAATAGATGCAGCCTCGCTACTGAAAAATAAGCAGGAGACTGTTTTAGAGCTGTAACCAGAATTTCAATTTGCCTTCTGTGCCAGAAAGACCCAAAGCCACCCAGAAACAGGGCAAAAGTAAAAATAGTTCTAGCTTTCAAGCAGATAGAAAGGTGTTTGGGACAGAGTGGTTCTTAAAGCTGGAGTAATATTTGGACTAATATTTCATCTTGTTGCTGTGCAATTTGTGTATGCAGAATGCCCTAATCCTATTCAATTGCAGTTGTTACCATCACCCCCCAAAAAATCACATGTTCAAAAGCTATTAATCATATGTAGGCAATGGATAATGAAACTGTGTGGACTAAAAGGGATTATGAAACAGAGTTATAAATATTAGATCAATTTTTCCAGAAAGAAGTTGGACTTGTGTAAGTCTAAAATAGTCCAAAATAATCTTAACACCACCTTGCTTCTAGATGTCCAATCTTATATTGGGAAATTTAACTCCCTTATCATCAATTTTGAAGAACAGAGATTTTGTCATTCCTCCTGGAAGCTTCAAATGATTCATGACTTGCCAGGCATCAAGAGATTTTCTGGCTGTCTCAATATCTCTGCAAGGACTATTGGAACCACCTAAACTGCTCTAATGGACTCTCATGTTTCTCCTACCTGCAGCAAAGGACACAAACAATATTCACAGGCTGTTATCTTCAAGGGACAATGAATTGTGCTATTTCCACCAGGCTGCTCTCAGACAAGAGAGAAGCATAAATCTGTTGGAGTGCAGAGGGAAAAATCCCCAGTATTGCCTCAAAATCAGTTCCCATTTTCTCTAAACCAGAAGTGTAATAGGAGAAGATCTTAAAGAAAGAATTCCTTTTTGAATGCTGTGGGGCTCTGGTTCTGTACAAAGTTACATCAGGATAAATGTTAAACTATAATTTTGTATTCTCTCAAAAGATGAAGGGGAAAAATAGAAGCATTAATCATATGAAGGTTTGAGAAGCTTAGCAGTGGATGGAAAAAGTCCCCTGCCTTCCAGAAGACTGGTGAATGTGGCACCTCTTGCGAACCTCAGAACTCAGCTTTGTTTTAGTCTCAGCCAAGGAGACAGAACTTTTTCTACTTGGAAGTGTAATTGCACCTAGGTCAGAAGAAGGACATACAGGACTGCAAAGTGATGCAGCTCATGCTGTGTCATTTTGTCTGTCTTGTTAGCCAGAGCACTTTCCTCCTTATGCCTCTGAAGATCTTTATGCAGTCCTCCAGGGAGTTCAAAGTTAGCAAATAAATAAAAACAAAACAAAAAGTTAAAAAATCCCAAACAAAAATACAACAAAATAGAGGTATTTCCCAAGGAACTTAAGGAAGCAATGCATTTTAATAAGTTCATATGTATTTAGCTGAAGGAACACAGATGTTTACTTGACTACCAGGTAAATTATAAACAACTACTTTGCAGGTTTTGATTAACTATAGACCTAAACTGAAAATGAAAAACCTGGTGGTATAAAATGCAGATCTTTTCTCAATTACATTGATGCAGTTATTTAAGCAGGACTTAAGAATGTAATTTAATTGAGGGATTTTGATCTTTCTGGCAAGTAGGCAACATTGCCTGTATTCCTCTTACATGTTTCTTTCTTACTGTATTTTTCCAATGTTTTCAAGTGAGGACAAGGACCTCTCAAAAATGCTGCAGTAGGTAAATCTGGGGGGAATTTGAACTGACCACACTAAGTTGGCTCTTGAAAATTCCCTGGTGTGAGGTGTCACCCTTGTGTTGGAGGCAGTAGGTGTCAGATGGAGAAAGCGCTGAAATCTGTACTTTCTAAAGAAGGTAAATTTCAGTTCTTTGCCAAATGCCCACATTGCTCAGCTGTTCAGGTCTGTGAGACAAATGCCCCAAGGTTACTGGATGTTAGTTAAATCCTTGTTTTCTTCTGTCAGTCACCTTTAACAAGGAGCTGTAGGTACTGACTCGTGCTTTTTCATACTGCTTAGAAAGGATTCAAGAGTCGTACTTAGGGACTTCAGGATTCTGATGTCCCAGTATCTCTCTGTATGGCTGCTATTACTGCACACTTCTTAATTATTGATTTTGAACTATTTGGCATATAAAGCTCTTTTCTTTTCCCTATTCCCTCTCTCCTTCATCTTTCTTTTCAAACACAGGTAGTGCAGTTGTGCTGTCCTTACACATTTGTGCAAGTAACAGTGGAGATGTGCAAAGGTAGAACCACAACACTATTTTTAACATGCAAATTTCATCATATAACTTTTCCTACGAACTCCAGAACTCTCCAAATTGCATCTGCATTAGTACTTCTTGTATGATGACATTCATGTAATGTTTGTTGGATGAATTGGGATTATGCCTGCTGTTTCACACAGCTACCTTCTTCTGTCTGCAGACTTCCAAGGAAATGTTTTTAACTCTTTCACAGTTCTTATAACTACAGAAACGCATTTTGGGAAGTCTCTATTATTGCAGATTAGTTGCAGGAGTCTTGCCATGTTGCAAGAGACATTTGAACTTCCTACATGATTGATCCATTTCCTGTGCTTGCTAGTGGGACTTTCCAAATAGTACCTAGACTTGGGGATCAGAGATTAATATGCTATTATGATCTAATGCTGTTAGATTAAACAGGCAGTGGATTCATACTTTAGAAAAATAGGAGGCAAATAGTACACTTGGATTCACAGTCTTGAATGTTTGCATGTGTGTACATGGGATAAAGGGTGCCTAAACAGGTGTGAAGTATCAAGTAAAGAAAAGCTGTTTAGTTTATCAATTAAAAGCTCAGTTGCTGCAAACTGTTCCATTAGGACTCAAAAAGAACAAAACTCTTCTCAGTCATCTTCTCTTGCTGGACAGAGCTGATGTGTCAACAGCATGTCACACAGAATTAAGTCTTGAGGTTTCATGCATGGGCTATGGCAGTAACTATAAGAAATGCTATATGGTATGACTTGAGAAAGTAATTTCAATCTGTTACTTCTAAAAAAAAAAAAAAGGAACCCAGAAAGGAGCCTGAGGACTGACTGTTCCCGATTTTGTGGTGTATTAATCCGTATAGATCAAAGATTTATTGAGTGCTTGGTCATCTGATCCACAGAAAATGTCACTGCCTGTTTGGTTTAAGAGAATATGGGACTATTAATTGTCTTCACCACTTCTGCTACTTTATTTGCCTTTACGTGTTTGTGTAAAGTGACAAAATTAAGAGGTTCACAGGTTCTTGAGTAACAGCTGGAGCAGAAACTCAAGAGACATTAATAACTATTCAGACAAAACAGGAAGTAGTTTGAACACATTTGCGTAGTAGATTAAATTTAGTCCATTTTTTAGTTTTCTTTCTTAAAAAGTAGATTTTTATGTGTTTTCCACAGGGCTATGAGGACTGGCTGCGACATAAAGCAGACAATGAAGTCAACGGTGCTCCAGTTTATGTTGTTCGAAGTGGTGGCCTTGTGAAAACCAGATCTAAAAACATTCGGGTAAAGGACTAATTGAGCATTTTGTTTCTATTATACAGCTAAAACTCTTGTTTTATTGCTAATCATTGTAGTTTGGTAACAATGCTGAAAGGAATTCTGCCCTTTAAACCTCTTTGTGTTTTTCTGATCTGTGTTCACTTTGTTAGGTGGGGGACATTGTCAGAGTAGCCAAAGATGAGACTTTCCCTGTTGATCTGGTGCTCCTGTCGTCTGACCGAGTGGATGGTTCATGCCATGTTACCACTGCAAGTTTGGATGGAGAGACCAATCTTAAGGTCTGGGTTACTCATGTGAAATAGAATGTAGTTAATTTGTGGTGCCATTTTTCCTTCAGCCTGTTGAAATAGCTGCCCTGCTGCCTGGTAGTCCTGTAGTAACCCAATGGTCACTGTTTTACAGACACATGTTGCAGTCCCAGAAACAGCAGTGCTGCAGTCTGTTGCCAACCTGGATAAACTGGTAGCTGTTATAGAATGTCAGCAGCCAGAAGCAGATCTATACAGGTATCACTTTATTATTAAATATTTTGAAATTAAATCAAAATGAGGTGTTCAATACTCAGAATGCTACATGTCTTGCTAGGGTTAAAATAGCTTCAGACATCTGCTTGAATTTCAGGTTTTAATAATCAGCTTGTTTTTATACAATGTACTTACTGAAAGTTGCAAGTGTGAAGTTAAACTTGAGTACTTGAGTAGTAAACCAGACATTATATTTTTCTTTTTTATTTTAATTATGTACATTTCAGTTCTAATCAGTAAACATCTTTCTAGATTTTAAAGAATTAAATGGCCTACAGTCTGATCAGGTTGAAGAGAATTCCATAAGGTTCTGCTGGAGATTTCAATATTATATAGGATATGTTAAAGTGGAATTGACTCAAGTCTAATTCTAAGGATATGTGTTGCTCATATTTATTTTGCATATGCTTCAGGGAAGATTTGAACTCCATTTTTCAGCAGCAAAACCTTACATTTAAAAAGGGATATTCGAGCATGCTTTAACATCAGCAAGCAAAGTCATAGACTCTGTAAAGCAGCATCATGGGTAGCAAAAGTTATATTCCCATCCAAGTTTCTTCTGAATTGTATAATGGAAAATGGTAGCTATAAAGTAGTAGTTTTTAAAATCCAAGTATATTATCACAGCTGTTCTTAAGTAAGCTTGGAGATCTTTGAGAAATATTAGGTATTTTAAAACTAAGATACTCAGTTTGAACAGATGTTCAAATGTTTGATATTTAGCAAATTAAGGTACAATCACTATAGACGTTTGTGTCCCTTTTTGTGGCTGGAGTCCTGCTAAATATGTGCATGTCAGATTTTTAAATGTGTAATAGATTGGCGTTATTAAATGAAAAGTTTCTATTTTGATGGATAATGCGCAAACTTAGATTTGTTGAGGAATTATTTCTTACTGAATCATCAAGAAGTCACAATCTGTTTTAAATTAATAGAAATAGAATCTTTTGTGGCAATTAATCAGAGTTAATAAGCTTTCTCAAATGCCTGTTCCTATGAGGGATAAATGTTTCTGTTGCTAAATGTCTCTTGTAAAATTACTGCCAGTTTCGCCATATTGGTTTAGTTTGATTGTTAAAAAAAGTTGATTTATTTTTTACTTGTGAACTATTAATGATTATTTTATAAGTGTAGAGAAGGTTTTTATGTTTTTGAGTCTTTATGTAGATACTTCTAAGATATATCCATCTTCCATAGATTTGTTGGAAGAATAACTGTAAGTCAACAAGCTGAAGAAATAGTACGGTGAGTAAAATTGTATAAGATGATTATTTAAAACACATGGAGGTGGTTAAAATCTTGACCATCATGGGGGTTACTGTTGAATATATGAAAAGGGGAGGTATTTTTACTAAAAGTATCAATTGCAGCTGCATACCTCAGATGGAGATGAGAAAAGATGAGTGAAAAAAAGTTCATTACTACCCAGTTTTACAGATTTAATAAAACAGTTCTGGAAAGCTTGGCTGTTGCGAGGCAGGTAATTTTTGTCACTGGTAATCAGCTGGTAACTTTGCTGTTATTTGTTAATCAAAGCATTTATTGATCTGAAACTATTTCCACTGATGTAGTATCTATACTACAACGGATCCCCTGTCATCAGAGGCACCGAGAAGGAGTTTTTTCCATTGAAATCCCTAGAAATTCCTGGTTTAACAAAGTCTCTGCTACAAATTTGTAATTTTTAGTATCTATTTCAAATTACAGCTGGACTGTGCAGATAAGTGCTTACATCTGCTACAGGCAACACAGCTGTGTCCACATAATCATGGGCCCACCACCTCTCCTTGTGCAGTCACAGCAAGTAACAAACATGCTTGCAATTACAAAAATAAAGATGTGAAGCCTTTTACAGACTTCCATCTCGACTTCCTGGAAAGATTTCTAATTGCCGTGGGTTGGTCTCAGCTACCAGTGAGGCATCCAAACAGCTGCTCATTCAATTCCCTCCACCACAACAGGATAGAAGAGAAAACAGGAAGGACAGGAGTGAGAAGGATCATGGTTTGAAATAAAGACATAAAAATCACTCACAAGAAATTGCCAAATTTTCAGAAATACTTAGCATTCAAGTTTAGTTATTTTATCTTGAGAGTTGTTGATTGTCCAACTTTCAAAAAAACTTTGTCACCTCTTCTGAAAAGGTGAAGTGCTGTGTGTAAATTTGTCACAGAAGCAGGTAAATCTGCTATGGTTCTTTCACTCCTCTAATGTCCAAAATGTTGTCCTTTACACTTATTTTTTAGTGAAATTTCTACTTGAATCTTAAAGGACTACTGTTTTCCTTGTAATATCTGCCTTCAGTCTGAGCTGAATGTCTCTGAGTCTGAGACTGACAAACATCTGTCAGTTTGGATGGGAGTGACATGGAGTTCAGAGTGAATCGAGTTTTGCCAGAAATATGGAAGTGTAGCAGCCAGGTCACTTGGCCTCAAGTTCAGTGGCTTAGTTCCCTCACCAAAAAGCCTCACCCATGCCACCCCCCAAAACCCACTCAGCTGTTCTGTAAGGTCACTTTTGCTACTTCATTGAGAGCTTTTCAGAATTAATTCCTGCCAAGCTTGACATATGGGATAATTTATCAAAAGAATTCAGTTGACAATGTAAAACAGCTGGTTTAAAGGGAGGTGAAAAAAATAATTGCATGTTCTGACTATTAGTGGAGCTGTATCTTCTGTCTAAGATAAACTTATCTAGTCTGTGTTGCACTGATTCAGGTTTGGTATTTTGGGTTTGTCAGGCTGGTTTTACAAAATTGAATCCAGAAATATAAATTACGTTTCTTATGTGAAAATTTTAAATGCTCAAGAATTTAGTTGCTTTAACTCAAATTTTCACTTAGTCTGAGTCTAGCCTAAAATATTAACAAATGTATGTTTCATTTAAAGAATCCATCATAATCTGAGTGTATAATTGGTACCCGTGGTATTTGTGATGGTAACTGTTACATTTGCAGTAACATTTAAGTTAATTTTTTGACTGTGGGAGGTGGGTTGTGGATTTACTTCGGCTCTTTTGAGTAACTTCAGATTATACTTTCAAAGGGACTTCAAGTTTAAGAGCTTTGTTTATCTGATAGTGATCATGGCCTACATGTGGCACAGCTAAAGGAAAAATAGGGTAAACCCAAGGGCTTGCATGCCAAAGCACTTAGCATCTGAGCTCTAATTCTTTTATTTCTACCTAATATGTCAGTCTGGCCACTGTAGTTGTTAAATTTCTGCTTTCATTTGAAATAATGGAAAAAATACTTTTTTTAAATTTCAAACCCACCCTGCTGGCAGTTTCAAAAGATGATACAGCTGCTGCAGTAGAACATATGGTTCTAACCTTATAGTAACCTTGTTTCTAACTAGGCCCTTATTTTCACAGCACTGCTTGTGATGAAATTAGCCAAAGAAATTAATGTGTTATTGTAGTGTGATAGATGTGAGGAAGAAACATCTATTTTACCTCCTGAAATTGTATCTCTATGTTAGGAAAAAAAAATTGGCACTGCTGCCATGGTACCCATCTAATTGTTTGTTTCTTTGGTATGAATATCTTTTGAATTTTGTAGATCATTTCAGTCTGACAGAGGGGTAGAGGATTGGTAAATTAGCCAAACCTGAACCAGCACTTTGGGTACACTGAGCTCCACTGGTTTCTTGCCTGCTTCCTTCCCAAGTGCCTTGTGGGTCTCTCTGAAGCAGCCATTTGGAATATTTAGCTCAGTCAGTATTATGGGATATGGAACAGCGGTGGGGGAGTATGGCAGTGACCAAAGGAGACATGAAAGGAAACAGAGAGCTCTGTGGAGACGTGTGGGAGGTGTGGTGAGAGGGGTAAGATCACTGATTGAGTTGCTGCATTGGGAATTTGTAGGGGATATAGGACAGCTTTGCATAGGGAACTGGATTTCAGTACTTCTCCAGAATACAGAACAGCTTATGTTCACATGCTGATATGTCTATTTCTTTTTAGACCTCTTGGGCCTGAAAGTCTCTTACTTCGTGGAGCAAGATTAAAAAACACTAAAGAAATATTTGGTTTGTAGACATCTAAATATTTAAAGAGTATTCTCTTCTTAAAGCATGTTGATGAACTGTGTTTTAATTCTACTTGCACTGAAGAAAATGTAATAATCTTGCTGACTGTTACCTGAGGGGATATGATTATAGATGAAAGTAATGATATTATGCTGAAGAACCTCTAAGGATATAAAGTTCCAGCTCTGCTCTGTGAAAATATTTGAAGTGGTTTGATAAAGGAATAACTTAACTTCAGTGGATAAATGACTGTTCTTACTGTTACCTATTGTTGAAGGCTTTCTCCTGAGATTTACCATGCTGATTTCCATAAAATACATATTGAAGAGCAGTACAGTCATAATAATGAAGAGTGTTAAAGTAGGTGTTAAAATTACTTCAGTAGTACTCTTACTACAGAAGAGTCTTGCAAACAGTACAAAATTCTGTCTCATAGTAAACACAGAAGTAGTACCACCTTTTGCTTTTATCCTATATCTCTAAAAATGAAAAATTCTGCAAATTGTATTTATGCAGAAAGTGAAGTCTGACTGTTCCCCCCTTCCTTCCCAGGTGTTGCTGTGTATACAGGTATGGAGACAAAGATGGCATTAAATTACAAGAGTAAATCTCAGAAACGGTCAGCAGTAGAAAAGTATGTTTATTTTCTAATATCTCTCTTATTTGTAGAACTTTAACTTAGCTTTTCCTGTGTAGCCTTAAAACCCTGGTGGTCTCATCATTGAGTTATAGGCAAAGGGAAGAGAGTATTAATTGCCTTGCCTTCAGTAGGAAGCTATAAAGATAAAATCTATTTTTTGATATTACATCCTTTAGTAGTGTACAAAGTGGAAATAACTAAGCTTGCTTCTGGTTGCAGGATAGGTGTTACTATGATAGATACTTACATTGAGTCTCATGATTTATTTTAAAAGGAAAAGGAGTTCTGATATGTTGCCTTTATTCCAGTTACTAAAAATCTGAGAGAGCCCCCTGGCATTCTTGTGCAAATATATAGCTACATACAAACAACTGTATGTAGCACAAGAGAAGTTCCAGCGTAAAAGTACAGGCAGGAAGGATGGTCTGGCTGGTTACAGAACAAGAAGCAGGTGTGACTATCCTGCTGTAGCCTGGCCTGGGTTAAATGCTCAGCTGCACATGGTAGTGCTCTTCTAACTGAGGAAAAAGTGCAGCCATGGATTTCTGCTGTGCTTGTTTGTACTGCACTGCCTGCACAGCCTTGGAAGCTCCTTGGGGAAAAGGAGGACCAGTGTGGGACTGTAGGTGTGACACAAGTCAGCTGTTGGGGTGTTCCTGCACCTTAATCTAGGCTTCATATTGCTATGTAGAGGGTTTAATTTAGTCAGAGGTAGAATTTCTTTCCCATTCTGTTGCCTGCTTGTTGCATAGTAACTTTATATCTGTATCAAGCACAGGCTACACTTTCTAAAAAAGGTCCATCAAAAGATCAATTCATGTAACCACACTGTGTCAACAGATGAAGTAAAATAAACTGAAATGTCTTGCTTTACTTTTTTGGCTCTTTATAGGTCCATGAATTCCTTTTTGATTATTTATCTAATAATCCTCCTCTTTGAAGCCATTCTGAGCACTATTTTAAAGTATGCATGGCAAGCTGAAGAGAAATGGGATGAGCCTTGGTATAATGAAAAAACAGAGCATGAAAGAAACAGCAGTAAGGTAAGTTCTGTCCAGTTGCATATCTGAGGAACACTCAACCAATATACACTCAGTGTCATATATATTATGTCTCTATGCCACGTGTAACCACCACATGATCCACTTGCAGGTCTCTGTGCTGTTGTCTCAGTGTTTTTTGAGTTAGTCCCATGTATCCTCACCACTGTGTAGAAATATTTCTACCTCTGTTACTGGTTGGACTTTTCCTTCCATTATGAAAAGATCAGACTTTTTGAAAACTTTTGAAAAGGCTTTGTTAGGACATATTTCTCATGGTCTATGTTGTAATTATTGTTCTTTAGGATGTCTTTTGTCATTCCATAAAGTAAAAGAGGACAAGGGTGGCTGTCCTTGTGTATGTTCTATTGCAGTGATTTCACAGTTCAGGCATTTTGTACATTCTGTGATGTTGAGATGGTTTGGGCAATTTTGTAAGGCTGCAATTTTGCTCAAGCTTCTGCTTGCCTGCTCAGTTCTCTTTAGAGATTGAAGGGATCCTTTAAAGTGTCCCTGAAATCTATGGCTCTGAAAAGTATCTCTTTTTCCAATTAGTCTGTATTTTTCTGTGTTCTCTTTAATTTTTGATTTCTCTATGAGTCTGCCTTTGTCCAAAGCAGTTCAGGAGCTTAATCTGAAATAATTGCTATGTGAGTTAGTCTAGCCTGTGGAGCCTTTCAGTTCTGAAAAGAGCAGGGATAAGTATTTCCTCAATCTTTCCATTCCTTTGCCATCAGGAGTGTAGAGAGCCATGTGTGTTTCTGCAGTGTCATTCTCCTTCTGTCATGTCTTTGTTTTTCTGTCTCCCATGTTGACTTCTACAATCTGCTTTTCATTTCTCAGCATGCTGACATCCTTACTCAGAGTTCTTTCTCTGTCCATCTCCTCCTGTGTATGCAGATTGTTTTTTCATTGCCATTGCTTAAAGAAACTCTCTTAAGTAATTGTCACTACCTCCCTTAGATGAATTACTGCTCTCACTTTCTGTCCGTCTTTTCCGATTTAGTTTGGAAGATCTCTTTAGGCACAGAACTTGCTGAGTTTTTGCCAGCTACTTTAATTATTTATTAAATACTTACAACAATGCTCCCTAAAGAGGAAGAATAGACATTATTTAGCTTTGCAAATTGTTGACTACTTTTATGCTTCCTTTATTTAAAATGTTCTCCTGCACCAATATCTGCTGGAGTTAAAAGAGGTGGCCTGGTTTTTGTCATCTCTAGTCTCCCTTGCTCAATATTCAAGTGTTGGTAAGAGTCTTTCCAAAGTACAATTTAGATACTGAGTTTGCTGGGCAGATGAAAAAGAGACTGTAGTGTTGCATTTCAGGGTTTGTTAAAATTATCATACCTAGTAAAAAGAAGTTTCTCTCCTGTCACATTGGTGTTTGCCTGAAATGTGTGTGTGGAACACAATGATTTGAAGAGGCATAAAAGAAATCCATGTGGTCCCTTTCTTTTTGTGCAGTCTGGATCACCCACATAACTGGGGAATGCCAGTAGACAGGAACCCTCGTGACACTTTGCTGTCCTGAACCAACAGAGTGCTTGCAGATTGCTCTGACAGTCTGGAAAATCACTTGTTTGCCTTCACAATTTAGGGTTCCTTGAAAAGCTTCCATGAATGATGATGTTTGATGGAATGGGGAATACATTTGATTTCTCAGACCAAACTCTTTCAGAGTTGGAAAACAGAATCACCATGACAGTTAATATTAATTGGCAGCCCTCCTCACAGATTCAGTAGAGACAAAAATTAATGAACTTGTGAATTGAAAGCTCCAGTCAGAGCTTAAGGCAGACTTTGCATCAGTGTGAAGGCGTGTTACTGGGGCAACCTGCAAATGCCTGTGTTGTCACTGGAGCGTTGTCTCTCTCGTGTGTGTGGGGGACTTGGGCTTCTCTGGCTCTCCCAGTTTTTCATTTTGCATGCATATTGAAGGATAATTAAGTCACCATGTTTCACCTGACCACTGTGGTAATCTTCACTTTTTCTTTTTTTCTCTTGTAGATCCTGAGATTTATTTCAGATTTCCTTGCTTTTCTGGTACTTTACAATTTTATCATACCCATTTCACTCTATGTGACTGTTGAGATGCAGAAATTTCTTGGATCTTTTTTTATTGGCTGGGATCTTGACCTCTATCATGAAGAAACAAACCAGAGAGCACAAGTAAATACTTCGGACCTCAATGAGGAATTGGGACAGGTAAAAAATATGTTGTCTGTTGGGTTTTCTCACCTATTTTTTACTTAGTTTTTAATATTAAAATTTGTTACAGTGGGATTTTTATTACTTGTGATATGATTTCTGATTAATTTTAAAATAAGGTATAAAGATGTAATGCAGAACTTAAAATTCTTATATGATTAAAAAATGTGTGTAAAAGAAAGTGTGAGTGGAGATTATTGTATCTTTTTTCTTCTAACAAGAACATGTAATTCCAAGTTGTTTTTTTTGTTTTATTTTACAAAAGGTAGAGTATGTGTTTACAGACAAAACTGGTACATTAACTGAAAATGAGATGCAGTTTCGGGAGTGCTCTATTAATGGCATAAAGTACCAAGAGGTCAATGGTAAACTAACTCCAGAGGGATTTTCTGAAGATTCTCCAGATGGAAATAGGCATGGTTTGGTAAGGCTCTTTGGTTTTCCCACCATCAGTCATCCTAGTTTGAAAGTGCTTTATTTCAGAGATATATTCTTGTACCATTAGCATAAAAAAAATCCCAAGCCAAACATAAATCAGAATTTCTGAACAGTTTGACGCTTTCAAGTGTCACTGAACAAATAATATTTATTAAACATGTTGAGATGTGATTATTTAACATGAAATGCTTGGCAGATTTGTAAGTAAAACCACTTTTTCCTTAAGTGTGTTCAGAACTGGGTTGATGTGTAAATGTTACAAATCAAGATTTTTCTTTCTTGTAGGTGAAAGAGGAAGAGCTCTTCTTGAAAGCAGTTTGTCTGTGCCATACAGTGCAGATCAATGCAGATCAGACAGATGGTGCTGATGGTCCCTGGCATGCCAATGGAATAACATCCCCCCTGGAATATTATGCTTCTTCCCCAGATGAGAAGGCTTTGGTGGAAGCTGCGAGCCGGTGAGCAGGACTGCCAGGGCTGTCTGACACAGGAATTGCCTGCAAGGGCAGCCTTACAAATGGCTCAGGACACCGGTGAAAACCAGGGCCTGGCACTGTCACCTTACTGGGAAAACACTCAAATGTAAAATACACAACCCCCTAGGTGTATTATAAAGTGATGATTTGAAATATTTATGAAAATACGTGAGAAATTACAGTAGTCAGAGTATAATGTGAATAAAATACTGCAGAAATGGGCATTCTTAGTTTTCCCTAGAGCAAAATACAGTAATGGGGTGTAAGAGTCTCTCCTTTTCTTCCCTGCCATCTTCCCCTCCCTCCATTAAGAGGCATTTTGTCTAAATTCATAATTAAGTGTATATCTTCTTTACTTTTAGGGTCGGAGTAGTATTTACTGGAATTAGTGGAGACAGTATGGAAGTAAAAAGTCTTGGAAAACCAGAGAGGTATTTGTTTTTTTTCCTTGATTATTTTGAAGGCTAGAACAGTAGTGAAGATTAATGTAATGTTCTCCTCTTAATCCTCTTTGTTCATAAGCAAACCTTGCCTTTCCACAGCGTGCTCTGTTTAATGCTTTTCCCTTGATGTCTTCAAGACAGCTTGCATCTTATTCCTTACCAATTGTAGCTGAGATGCAAGAATTTTGTGTGAGTTACTCTGTGTAGGTGTGTGTTGTAACAGTTTGTATCTTTGCCCATTCCTCAAAGGTTGAGACTGTAGCAGAGTTGGAAAACTGAATTGCTTATTCAAGTTTTGTTTCAGCTCTCGAAATTCCCAGAATCAGTCTCATCTGTGCATAATCTAATCAGATATTTTAAACTTTCCTAAAATGAGTTCAAATTATTAATAACTGTATGTGTGCAGTATTCCATAACTCCTTTTACTCATTTGATCTGTGTCAGCTAGTTGGCAGTACTTTGCATTTAAATGTCTAAAATTAATTTGCTAAGCTAGTGGTAATATAACAAAAACTAATCCACTTACCAGGGCACACACACTTTTTTGACAGTCTAGATTTTTACAAATTTGTCAGAAACAAAATGTAGTTTTCAAAGTTATACTTGAAATAATGACAGAAGGGTGAAGAAATAGATAGGAGCTATTTGTAATTGCCAAATGCCAAGTTAGTATTCAGAAAGCCATTCCTGTTGGTAGAAGAACCTTTTATTCTTACAGAATGGAATTAAGCATATATAAATTCATAAAAAGCAATGAACAGTGATTGTTGTTCAGCAGTGATAGCTTTGCTTTCAGAGTTTCTATACAAAAATAACACTTTGAGGAAAGGTCTGTGGTGTAAGAGTCTATTTATAAGTAATTGTCTTTGGAAGTTTATTTCTAAAAATGTTTTCTTCCTGTTCCCTCTTTTAAAACACAAAATGCAGGTATAAATTGCTTCATGTTTTGGAGTTTGATCCAAATCGCAGACGAATGAGTGTCATTGTAGAGAGTCCCTCAGGTATGTGATCAGAAATTGCACAAGCAGCACTTGAGAACTTCTTAAACAACATTATTTTTAATTTCAGTTCTATTTGACTTTCTAGGGGAGAAGCTTTTATTCACAAAGGGAGCAGAATCTTCCATTCTTCCTCGTAGTAAGAGTGGAGAAATAGATAAAACAAGGATACATGTGGATGAGTTTGCTTTGGTAAGTGTGTAGGCTTGCCCAGCTCTCAGCCTCAGCTGATCAGAAGAAAATCCTTGCCATATAAATTGTGACTTGAAGTGAAAAAATTGCTGGTGACACCTTGTTAGATCAGAAACTTGTCTACTCTGAATGTAGCCTTTTATTTTCTTGCAGAAAGGCCTAAGAACTTTGTGTGTGGCCTACAGAAGATTCACACCTGAGGAGTACCAAGAAATTGGCAAACGCCTTCATGAGGCCAGGACTGCCTTACAGCAGCGGGAGGAGAGATTGGCAGATGTGTTCAACTTCATAGAAAGGGATCTGGAGTTGCTTGGAGCTACAGGAGTAGAAGACAAGTATGCCATGGAGTTACTGCTATCTACGTTCAAACCCAGCGAGTTTAGGATTTATACTTGAAATATGAAGTGTGAAAAGCTCTCCCACTATGACTAAAAGTTCTGTGTTATTTTTCTTTAGTATATTTACCTTTGGATTGAGGCAGATTCAAAACAAAACTTGTACCAACTGATTCTGCCTTAATAACGGTGATGTACAGTGTGTTTCATCGGGAGAGATGTCATGTATGTGAAATGGAATAATTGCAGCAAATATTTAGTGTAACAGCAAATACCTTGGGAAAGCTTCTACGCACAGCTCCTTTGCAAAGCACTGTGCTTGTGCTCTGTAGGTCCCAGGGTGTGTTGTATGCTGAAGTGAGCACATGGGGCTTGAGAAGCTTTTCATGCACCTCAGTAGCCAGGAATTACTGTGGACTGTTTTAAAGCTTCTCAAATGCAGTGGCAGTGCCTAGTTTAAATCAGGATATGCTTATTACAAATTTTTTATCCCTTAGAAGGATTGAAATTTAGTTTTTGTTTCATCTAGGCCTTTGTTTTGTTGGTGGTAACAGAATATCATTTGCCAGACTAGGATTCTCTGAAAATACATGTAACATTGGAAAGGCAAACTTAACTCACCATGACAGTGGGGTTACAGTGGTAGCATAGAGTTACAGCATGAGCTCTTTTGTTTGTAAATTGTTCAGTTGGTTATTTAAGATTTTTCTTGTTTCTAGACTGCAGGAGAAAGTCCAAGAAACTATAGAAGCCCTCAGGCTGGCTGGTATCAAAGTGTGGGTGCTCACTGGAGACAAGCACGAAACAGCTGTTAGTGTCAGTTTATCCTGTGGACACTTTCACAGAACCATGAACATCCTTGAGCTTGTGCAGCACAAGTCAGACAGTACCTGTGCAGAACAGCTGAGGCAGCTAGCCAAGAGGTAAAATAACTGAGAAGTCACTATTGCAGTGATGATCTCAGCTTGGGTTGCTTTCATTTTTATATTTTATGGCAGTCTCTTTGATGCATGTGCCAAATAAAAAAGCTGTCTTTTAAAAAAATTATTTATTAATATCATAACAGACTGGAAGAAGTAGTCTGACAATTAACTCCTTTGCTTATTGTCTGGCCAACAACATAGTTTATAGCAAAACTGGAATTTTACCATTAACACTGGTACAAATTCAACATTTTTATCCCCAAATAGAATAAAGGAAGACCATGTTATCCAGCATGGACTGGTTGTGGATGGGACCAGCCTCTCTCTTGCACTCAGGGAACATGAAAAATTGTTCATGGAGGTTTGCAAAAACTGTTCTGCAGTGTTGTGCTGTCGCATGGCACCCCTTCAGAAAGCAAAGGTAAGTGAGAATATGGTCAGGATTGCCTTTGAAGTATTTTTGTCATGCTTTGAGAAGGCAAAGATGTCTGAAACTGCTTTGTTTGTTTATCTGACCCTTTTTGTGACCTCTGAATCCTTGTTAAATTCAGATCTAGAGTAGTTTGCTCAGAAGTTTCTACATGTGTGTTTGAAAATTTGCAAGTTGATGGAGAAATCAAACTGCCACCAAGCTCATCTTTATTCTGCCTCTTGAATGTTCAGTAAGGCAGCAGCTCCCAGTCTCCTGCATGGTTTTGCCTTAGCTGCTCCACCACTTCTTCAAACCAAAAAACTAAATTGAAAATTCATTAATCTTTAAGGAGAAACTGTGCTTCTCTAAATACTTTAAAAATACCCAAGTTTGAGGAAGAAGTAGAAGGGAAGGCAAGGCCTAGTCTTCAGGAAAGATTTGCCTTAATTCTCTCTTCTAATAAAATTTTTCATTCACAATACTAAATTTTACTCAAATACATGTTGGATAAGATTCAAAATCAGATTTTGTGATTTATTTTTTTTTAACTCCAGAATGCTAAGCTCTGAAGGACTATAAATATTTTTTCCTTTTGAAAATTTCTTTTAATGATAAGACTTCTCTTTACCTTAAAGCACTAGGAAACCCTTCTGTGAGGTATCAGATGTTCAAGGGGGAGGCTGTTCTACTGCAACAGGAGTGACCTGTTTGGAGGTCACTCTTCCCTCCAGAGTTCTCATGCAGTCTTTAGAATCACTTCAATATAGAACTGTTCACCCGCTATTAGTTTCAGTGAAATGTTGCAGCTTAGTTACCCTGAGTAAACCAATCTGTTGGATGTGTCAACTCTGTACATTTCTTGGCTGAAATTTTTGCCATGCTGTCTCTTTAAGGTGCACTTATTTGTCAGTGTTGTGTCCTTGTTCTTATTTTGTCATTTAACTTGATTTATAATGTTTTGTACTGCTTTTCTTAATTCTTCTCCTCACCAGCAGATAATGGAGATTATTTCCTGTCTTGAGTCATGAAGTACAGCAAAATGCAATTTTAATTGCAGTGAATTTTTAATTTCAAATATTGCAGTATATAAATCACCAAGACAAATGCCATACAACTTGAGGGGTAGGGAAGGAAGTGCAGGGCAGTTTAGTCTAGTGTTGAACATTATTTTTTGCAGTAGGCAGACTTTTTGTGAGGTTTATTCCAATATTAAGCTGGAACCCAGCTTAATACTTCCTGCATCTTTAATTATAATGCATGTTAATGTTTGGTTAGTGGTCTCACTACTAATTTTGGTATGTTTTATAACTCAAAACCTTGTTTAAACATCATCATTTCAGTCATTTGGAACTGCTGCTGACTGCTGCTGTTAAAATTTGCTAAAGGCTTTGTCTTGACCTTTTCACATAGATGTTTGTCTGTCCAAATTTCCCAGGCATTGGGGATCTCAAGAGGACTGATCTGGGTGCTGTCCTGCAGCCTTGTTACCTCTCTAAGGCTGCTTCCTGGGATCAAATACTAAATGTGTTTGAAATAATTGCCCCTTAGGAATGAGGAGCCTTTAAACTTGAATATTAATACCTGCAATTAGGGAATGTATTCCCACAATCAGGTGGATTTTTCTGAGCTGTGGACTTTGTTTAATCGCTGTTGTGTTCTTTGTGTGAAGTGAATTCCCACTCCTGTGAATCAATGCCCTGACACTGCCAGCCACAACTCAATTACTCCAATACAGTTTTTTGTGTCTACTTAACTTCATGCAGTGGCTCCATTGATATTTCCACTTTGGGGATTCTGGAACTTGAGGGGGAAAATGTTTTTTCATACATATTTATTTCTTGATTTTGGAAAACCTCTTGATCTGCATTCGTACCTTTACCTGCAGCCCACTTACAACTGAATTAGTGAAGCTTCTACCTTAAGCTAGGGCTCTGTGGGAGGTTAATGAATCACTAATTCTCCTTAACCAAAAGCCTCATCTAACTAATTCCTTTGTATTTAGAATATTATTGACACTTACATTGAAGATCTGTTATCACTGCTTCTCTTCAGAGTATTTTAGGGCCTTGCATGTCAACAGTTTTTTCTCTCATTCTGTCATATCTTCTTCTGTTTCTTTGTCAGTTGAGGATACCCCTTGATGATAATGAAGTTGCTTTAGAAAGAAGCTATTTTTCTTAATAATGGCATATTGATTTTTTAGCTAATGCATTTGCTTTTTCAAATTCTTCTTTCACCTGGATGAGTTCCATTAATTATAAATACGAAGAATCTGGGTTTATTAAAGGGCATTCAATCTGTATTAGTCTGTAAGTGAGTTTTCGGTTCTAAATTTTACTTGACTTTGTTTTGTATGATAAAGCACCAAACTAAGAGTTGTAACAGAACATTGAAATAAGAACAGGAAAATAGGCTTAAGGCAGATATAATATTTAAATCAGGCTTGTGCTCCAAAACAGGCAGCTTTTCTAAAGAAGGAATTAATGTATGCATGTGATATGCCGAAGATATTTTTTACCCAAACATACATGTTCATAAAACATATTAATTATATCTACAGATAGGCAGCTAACTGAGATACTTGGGAATTGCTGACATGGTTTGTAGCTAGACTGTCTAGTCCAAAAGTGTTTCATTTTCTTTTTCCAGGTGGTTCGACTGTTAAAAACCTCTCCGGAGAAGCCCATAACATTAGCGATCGGGGATGGTGCTAATGATGTGAGCATGATCCAGGAGGCACATGTTGGCATAGGTAACTTCCTTCTGTCTCCACCAACTGGGGCTTCTTTATTTGAATCAGCATCACATGAGCAGCTTCCTTCAGTTTTAAGTTTGAGGAATATCTTCCTTTGCAACACTGCTGAAGTCCTTATGGTGTTGAAGTGAAGGAAAACAGAGCTGTAGCTTCAGATGTATGGTGTTGGGTTTTTTAAACTTCAGTTGTTGTTATACTTGACCTGTTTTGTGTTTTGTTTTCCAAACATTACAGGAATCATGGGCAAGGAAGGAAGGCAAGCTGTAAGAAACAGTGACTATGCAATAGCACGATTTAAATTCCTCTCCAAGTTGCTTTTTGTTCATGGGCACTTTTACTATATTAGAATAGCAACCCTTGTACAGTACTTTTTTTATAAGGTGAGTTTTTTTCCCAGCAAAAAATTTATTTCAGATCTGAGATTTTTTTGGGATCAGGTTAAATATCTCTGTTTAAACATGTTTTCTGAGCTTTTTTATTTTATCTTTTACAACCAAATGTATTAGTTTAACTATGGAATTGTTTAGTCTTTCCACCTAGAAATAGGCTTTAAATACTGCAGTGAGTTTGTCTAGGCTGAGAGGCTGATGTGTTTGTTTTCTCAAGGCAGGGGTTTTGTTTGTTTGTTTGGGTGCTTTTGGTTTTTTTCACTTGTTCATCAGTTTTAAAACAAGTCAAAACTCACTATCTTTATTGAAATTTATCTGGGATTTCAGTTTGGCTCCCAAGTCCCTTTTGAAGTTGATTTCTTTCATTTGATGGCAATAGCATGGTGTTATATTTTGGTTTCTTCTTTGTTTGCTTCTGTGTAACAAACTCACAAGAGCATGTCACAGCTTTATTGAACAAAATGTGGAAACTATTCTGCAAAGAAATTCTTAAAAAGAAGCAGAAGGGGAAAATGAATGGATTTCTTCTACTTAATTGCAACTTAGACTCCTGTAGTGAGATGTGCTCATCAAGCACATATAGTTAAGCTCATACTTTTCAAGTTCATTGTCCCAAAGGACAAAAAAACAAAATATCCCCTCAAGAAAAGCAGCTTGTTTTACTTTGCCAAGTAAAATGCTGAAAGGCTTTGTGGTCTTCCTATGTATTTTTAGCAGCTTCTAAGAGTTAGCAATTTCTTTTAGGGCTGTGAGGCATGTACTAAGGATTAACTATTTCCTTAATTTCTCTTTATTTCAGAATGTGTGCTTTATTACACCACAATTTTTATATCAGTTCTTCTGTTTGTTTTCACAACAAGTAAGTATTGCATGCCTGCCATCTTGTCTGTGAAACACTTGAGGTCCATAATTAAGAAAATAGGAGGGTGACACAAGGAGCAGTAGAGATGTTACACTTAGCAAATACCCAGCTTCATTTTCTGTAGTTGATAGCTGATGTTATTAGATTGTTATGTGAGTGTAGCTGTTTTCCTAACTAGCAAATTAATGTAACTGATCAATCAATGCTGCTATAAGTGTGCTAATAAATCTCTATCAATTCCAAGGCATAAAATGCTTTTTGCTTTCCTTTGCAGACGCTCTATGACAGTGTATACCTGACTTTGTACAATATTTGTTTCACTTCCCTGCCTGTCCTCATCTACAGTCTTTTTGAGCAGCATGTGCACCCGCATGTATTGCAGAGTAAACCTGTGCTCTACAGGTATGTATGTCCTGCATCAGTTCCCACAGGGACACATCTTGTGCAGCAGCAGTGGCATCTGCACAGCTCTGAACTTGCTACAATAATTATCTGTAATTTAGGCATTTTTAGTAACTATGTTGATGAGGAAGAATTAAAGCTACATAGTTCTCATCCTAAAAGTCAATTAAAAGGAATATTTTAATAGAAGTGTCTTTTTATGTCAGCGATGTTATGAGTGAAGAGCGCTGAGCACTTGGTCAGTTTACATGATTGGCAGCCTTCTCCTGCATTACATGTAGGAGATGAAAATCACTCAGACAAGGAGAATGAAAAACTAGGACACCATGATTAGGGGAATCACCACAAAAAATCCTTTACTAAGAGGAGGAGTGATTTCCTGTAGAATTAGATGTCCTCCCAGTGGTAGTATGTTGCACTGCATACTTTTTGGAGTAAAAAATAGATATTTTTGTAAAAAAGAGATGTCTCCTCTCAGATGTTTCTGTTTTTGTAAAGGTCCTTTGAGCAGAGCAAGGGGTAAGTATCAGGAGATCTGGCTTTTTCTTCCTCTTTCAGTTCCACCTCCAGGGACAAGAATTCTAGTTTGTGCTATTCTGAATTTGACCCATTAGAGACCCTGGCCATTGGTGACCTCTCCTTAAAGCAGAGCCAAATCTTGAGAGCTCAGAGGTTTTTTTTTTTCCCCATGATTTATGTATTTTTTTTCATATGTCAGCATTTGTTTAATGTGTCTTGGTGCAGTTGAAAGGTACATTTATTCAAACCAGTAGCAGTCATGCAGTGTGGATAGCTGATGGTTATGGACAGTATGAAATCCAAATCTGTTTTATTTCTGCAGAGACATCAGTAAAAATGCCCATCTGGGGTTTAAACCATTTCTTTACTGGACCATCTTGGGCTTCTTTCATGCATTTGTTTTCTTTTATGGCTCGTATCTTCTAATGGGAGAAGACACTTCTCTGCTGGGAAATGGCCAGGTACAATATCATAAGTGTTATTCTACCACTGTGTTTTTGTTGGTATTTCTTAATGCTTTTTTGAAGAATCCTCCTGTGTCCAAAAAATTTTGTTTTTATCAATTACAATTATCAAAGATTCTTTGTCAGTATTTGTGTGTGCTCTCAAGAGAAACATTTCTTAGCATGGAAACTGTAAGGTGTTGTCAGAAAGCATATGTCCCTAAAGAACATATCTTTCATGATAATAGATGTATCATGGTTGTCTTAAACTTTGTTGTATTTCATAAACTGTTTTGTCAAAATCCTATTTCATAATGTCAGCAAATTAGAATTTATATTCATTCATTCAAAACTCTTTTTGAATTGGACTTAATTGCAATGTCAAGCAAGAGAAGCAATGACTTCTCTTCAGTAACTGTTATAAAGTTAGGCTGAAAGTTGACAAAAGTCTTAAAGCTTCTCCTGAAAATGTTATTTTAGTTACTCTGAATTTTTCTAAATTTAGTGCAAGCTACTTTTAAATTATGCTGTTTATTCAGTAAGTGTTTTTAAGTCCATACCTTAATGAAATCATCATACACAAATTTGACACTTTTTATTTTAAAGATGTTAAAGTTAACAGGAAGAATCATTTACAAAAATCTCTAAAGCTTGAATGAGACCATTACAAGTCTGTTTCCTTATTTTCCTTGGTTCTGAGTTACTTAATTCAATTTAAAACAATTAGATACTGATTTTTCCCTTGTTAAACATGGGCAGTAATGGAAAAATACACTTCCTTCTCATTATGCCATACTTAATACTGGCATGAAGAACTTGCCAATTCTCATAATGCTTGGCAGAGTTGCAAGTTAGGGCACAAGGGAGAAAAGCAGCATCCTGCTGAATTCCCAGTGTCACCTGGTGCCAGGGAGTGGGTGTGAGCTCAGGAAGTTTAGTCAGAAATGCAGTGATGTTCAGGCAGGGAACAGAATGGTCCTGAGGGGCTGCAGGCAGAGGGAGGAGCAGTGAAGGGGGAGTGGTGCAGCCACCTGGAGCAGCCGTTCCATCATCAGATGATTGATAAGAATATTAAAATAGTTGTGCTTTAGACGAAAATGTCTCTTTCCAGCTGAGGCATGAGTGTGTCCTCTCTTGTCATTTGTTACAAGCTGTGGGATTTGAAATTATTTTGAGCTGGTAAAGGTCCTTCAGGACTCTTGTAATGAGGTAATTTTAGACTATGAATCAGTGTGTGTGGTGCATCCATCTTCAGTTGTCAAAGCACCACACTTCAGAATTGCTTAGTAAATGTCCACGGGCTAGGAAGAGACTTCTCCCATTGCATTTAGTAACAACTGTTTGGTTTGGGGGATTGGCAGCTGCCCTTTAGCTTCTTATGTGATATGACTTCGAATGAATTCTAAGATTTTTCTGGGTTTTAGTTACTCTGCCTCTCTGTGTTTGCTAAAAGATGTTGATTAGAACTGTAGGTAGAACTGTGTTGCAGTGAAATATCTTCATTGCATAGTTTCTTGCAAATTTAATGTGTGCCTGGAAAAGCCAAAATTAAGAGCAAGAGGATTTTGTGTGCTGCTGAAGTGCTTTCTTAAGTCCTCAAGAAGTGATCACCTGTACAGATGTGTGGTACAGGTAGTGTTAGTGCAGGGCCTCACGTCTCCATTCCAAGTTCTCAGTTCAGAGCACAGCAGAATAGAAGAGACTGTAAATACTTTGGTAATGCTGGTGCTTTGTTAGGCTTACCTCAACACATTGTGCAACAACTTGATCTTTTAGTTCTTTTTTCTCCCCCCTTTTTCATGCTGTGCATGTCGTCAGATATTGAAACCTAACAGGCAAATGGTAAGAGTTTAGAAGAGGAGGAGATACAAGATATTGTATCTGTTACTTCATAGGATTAAAGGATGCAGCATCCGCAGTGTAAATGTGTTCAAAAATAAAATGGTGGCAAGAACCTGTGTGTGTTTTGCGTTCTAACTCTGTGACCATTGAGAGCAGTGTTAGCAAAGACACTTTCTTTCACAGGTCACTCAGGAGAAGAAGTTTAATTTTACTTTTAAGATGAATATTGCAGCAGTTAACAACAAGCACATTACTTGTTAACCATTACTGTTGGTGGGACAAGTAAATCCAAGGCTTCAAAAGGCATGTTATCACAAAGATCTTTAAAATGATCAGTAAATCCAGACTCATGGCTGCCTCTATTTTGTACCTTATGTATAGATGAAAGAAGCAGTTGTGAGATCTGTCCTCAGGCTGTTGGGATTTTTTGTCAGAGCTCTGCAACAAGAACTACAACTGTGTGAACCCCAGTTCCGTGCCCCTGTGCTGTACTGACACATCAGCTCTAGGATGACCTTGGTTGCCTGTCTGCATGTGGTACCTCCCTCCTTGCTTGCTTAGTCTGCTGCCAGTAAACACAGAGTTGAGGATTTGGTCATTGTTCAGTTTGCCAGTGGCAAAACCAGCTGTGAAACAGCAAAATCTTCCCCGTGATCCCCCAGCCAGTTCCAGGCTGGACCTGGTGTAGAATGGCAGCCCTGAGTAGCATGTGTGTAGATAGATACAATCTCGGCATCCCTGCTTGGTTGTCAGAGCTGAGATTTTATTGTTGTAGACCTTGTTCAGAGTTTCGATAGTTTAATTTATGAGCACAAGAGAATACAAAAGTGACAGATTTCAGTGTTTCAGAATTAGAGCTTAATTTTGTGTGTTATTAGCCTTGAAACAAAGTGTCTTTTCCTTAGAATTTTCTTAGTAAAATACAATGGCACCATTATTTTTGAATTGTATAATCGTGCTTGGGGTTAAAAGTGAACCTTCATTCGATGCTGCATGTTTAAAATTATCTGGAAGCATTTAAACTGAAAACTGTTTTGCACTTAAAGTGAATACCTTCCACCCAATATTTCCTTTCTATTGGACACTAATAATGAATTGATCAAATTGGTGTCTTCATTTCCCTATCATTTCATATTCCTTTTTTGGCCTTTTTTCCCCCCATATTTCATGTAGCCTTTGTGATGATTTATTTTGAACTAAGAAGAAAGATGACTTGAGGGTTGTTATTTATGCTCTTATCATAACCCGTATTTTTTCTAGTAGTTTGTGTTGTATCCTCCTTGCTTTTTTCATGATGATTACTTGTCACAAGCTTATGTCTTATTTCTTTAGTGTAGCTGACTTGAGAAGAATTTACCTTACTGTGAATGCCCTTAACTGATGGTTTTTTCTTCCATGATTTTTGCCTTGCCATTTTCTTAGATGTTTGGGAACTGGACATTTGGTACTTTGGTCTTCACCGTTATGGTTATAACTGTTACGATGAAGGTATGATATCACACTGCTCTTTGGGCTTGGATGTGTAGGCAAATATGTAATATAGCAGTAATTTAAAATGGATTCCAAAGTTACTGATTCTTGAGGGTTCCAGATAAGTGATTTTTATGTTTAGTTTAAACAGTGGTTGAAATTTTTCTTCAGTTTTTGTGTGTTACAACAATACTTAGTGTTGGGGCTGGAAGTTCATAAGTGTGTTCTGACTGGTATTTATAATTTTCTGTGAAGTGGAAAACAGAAGCTCACTGAAGTTATCTCTGTTTTAGATGGCACTAGAAACTCACTTCTGGACATGGATAAACCATTTTGTTACTTGGGGATCCATTGTATTTTATTTCATATTCTCCTTGTTTTATGGGGGAATTATCTGGTAAGTGATTTTCCCCCCATCCTTTTTATCACATGTAATATCAATGAAGCTAAAAAACACTGAGAAATTATGTTCTACCATCTTGCTCTGAATTTTGTGACAGGTTTGTGGTAAAAAGGTTTTAAATCTAGACTGGCCACTTGCTTTTGGTGAGTCTTTGAAAAATTTAAGTGCTGCTGTGCTGTCCTGTGCTCAAGGACACACAGTATCTTTCTCTGACAGCCTGTAACTATAAAGGCATTTTTAAGTAACTAGGTTCCCAAGGTGCTATGTACTAGGTGAATAATTGCAACAGAAATAAAGATGCTGGGATTTGAATCAGTAAAGTGAAGTATTTTTGCTTTTAATTTCGAGTTTGGAGAGGTAGAGTGGTGATTGATTCTCTGCAGCACAATTTAAAATTAAATCAGAACCTTTTCCTCCAAAGTTCAGTACCCCCATTCCCTGGAGCTCATTGGCAGGTCAGGTCCAACAGGTTGCTGGACTTCAGGTGGACATGGTGCAGTTGTGACTCGGCATCCTGAGTGCCTCTGCTTGATGTAAAATAAGATACACTTGAGACAGCCTGTGCTGTACTTTTGTTCCTAGAAGTTTTTAGTAATTGCCACTTCTTTTAACTTTTCAGGCCATTTTTACATACCCAGGACATGTACTTTGTATTTGTTCAACTGTTGTCAAGTGGTTCTGCTTGGTTTGCCATAATCCTCATAGTAGTTGCTTGTTTGTTTATTGATGTTGTGAAGAAAGTGCTGTACAGACATCTGCAACCAACAAGTACTGAAAAAGCTCAGGTAATGTTATGCTTTTGTATCCAACTTGACCAGTAGTAAACCTCTTACATTGCTGTCATGTGCAGAGAAGTGTTCTCATTTCAAAATACACTTATTAATTTCAAATTACGAAAGTGAGGACACCATTTTACAAGGCAGTAATGTTTATGTTTAGTAATTGGTAATAAAAAGAATAGAATTATTTGAAGGGGTCAGTCTTTTGCATCTTGGCTTGCAGCTGTATGAAAGGATCATACTGCACATTTTTACGGTGCTTTATAGATGGTAACTTACTTTTTGTTTAGGTATTAGAAGTATTAGAAGCTACTGCTCTAATTAGCACTGAATAGTTCTTAAAATGTGATGGAAACAATAATTGTAAAAATTACTTTAGTAAAACTTGTTTTAATTAGTATTTCTTAAATATCAATCATTTCATATACTATACATTTGATTGTTGATTCTGTAATTAAAACTAATTACCTATGTGGCAGTTTCACAGATTCATAGACAAGGTCTTAAGTTATGCTGTGGTAATGGAATCTCCCTTCTGCCTGACACAGCCTACAGAAAATAATTTAAAACATTCTGGTGAGATTAGACTGTCTTTTAGGTAAATATCTTTGAGTGTTTTCTTCTTTTTAGAGACAGTTATTGAGAAGTAATCCTGGCCTATTGTTCTAATAGTAACTGTCTCTCTGGTTTCAGTTTTCAACATTTTATCTTTTATACTTCTTCTGCTAAACTGAGAAGGTTTCAATTACAATTTGTGTTTTATTCACAGTTAGCTCTGTGATCAAGCTAGTTTTAGCACTGATAGGTAGATTGGACTTGCATCTTCAGTCAAAAAGGTTGTTTTAGAGTCTTCTCATCATTCTTGTGTTTCTCCTGTAATTTTCACCCTTCTTCAACCTCATTTTGAATTTTGGATTTGACCAGTGGACCCAATATTCCAGTACAGCAGACATCAGTGCCAAGTACAGAAATGATGAGTCCCCAGCTACATTCAGATTACAGAATCACATACATCAATAACCTGTTGTCTTCTGCATCTTCTAACACATCTGCAGGTGGTGATGTTGGTTTCTTTCAGGGCATTGATGAGAGGTCAATTAGCATAGGGCCAAAAATAGTGAAAGTGTGTGAAGAACCAGCTGACAGAGATGTCCCATGCACAGTTATGGTCTGAAACATCTCAGCAGCTTTCTGTCCACCTGTGTGCCAGGTGGATTTTGTGGTGTCCCAATTGCTTAATGCAAGTGGCACTGAGCTCTGTGCCATGCAGAACTGCTGACTGCACTGCATCAGTGCTGCAATCTTTAGCATCTAACCTTGTAATTACTTTGATGTAACTGTACATTGACTTAATTAAATTATATTACCCTTCTAATGTGTGTGTTAAAAAAAAAACAAACGTGTGAGACCTTCTCTTCGTTTGCCTAGGATCAACGTCATGCTGATAAGCCTACTGCTAGCCAAAATATCCCACTAGTCCCTTTCAAAAATTGCAATATTGGCTACTTTTTCCTGTCTTGGAATTTAGTAGCTAAAAGCCAAAGTAAATAACCACTGGCTTTCATAAGACTGTTCAGATAGACCTGGTAAGGCTCTGGATTGCACATTACTGGACTTCTTGGGTTAGAGTGTCTGTAGGTAATGATATTTACCTTTTCTTATCTGTTCAAAAACTAGTGGTAGTATTTATCAAACACTCTCTTTCCTTCCTTGCTGTACATCACCTCTTGCTGTGTGGTATGGTACTGGTGTGGTTCTTGAGGTTTTTCATGTTCTTGAAGTGCTTGAATTAAAACCCTAAAAGCCACATGGATTTTCCTGCCTTTATCCATGTGGTTCCTGCTACATTCTCTTGCTTTAGGACTCCTTTCTAAAGATTTTTTTGGTTCAGTTTAATGCCATTACAGCTGTGCAGTCAAAGACACAGTAACACTTTTTATTTTTAAGAAGGAATCTTGATGAATATCTAACTCCTTTCCTGTGGCTATAGCTTGATTCCTGGCTATGGGGATTTTGATTTGTGCATCTCTATTAGTTATCTTTTTTCTTATTTGCTTTCTACTTTGCATTTGACAGAGTCAGCACTGAGGTCTCTGTTTACCAAAATACTGTCTTTTCTCTGAAAATTCTTAATTCCTGATGCTGCAAAGTCAAGGTATCTGAAATGGGATTCAACCAGAAGTTCTTCAGCGTCCATCCAGTGGTTTCTCTTTGTGTGTCTGATAATGAAATTATAGCTACAAATGTATTTACAAAAAGAAGGCACCTCTTTGTTCCTGTCTTGAGGTTTAATATGTTGAGATTTTCCTACTCTTGCTTTAATGAGACAATCAACTCCACTGGATTCAATTCACTGTTCTTGCAGTGGGGAAGTGGATGTAACTGAAGAGGAGCAGATGATCAGCTTAGCACATTTGTTGTCAAGAAGTGACAGAGTGCATCTTTTATCATCATACCTCATAATTTTTGTTTAAAATTCCTAGTAAATATTTTTCTTTCCATTCCCAAGCAAAGGAAGACTGACGTTCAGATAGAAAGGGTTTGGAGAATATCTTTGTCCTAAATGCTAAGGGTGAGGACTGATGCTAATGAATTCTGTGGAAGTCATTGAAGGAATAACTATGGAACTTTGTATATTGTCCTTTAAAATTATTTTTCATTGTGTAGGTGCACCCTCTGTATAACTGAACATGTTTAATTATTCATTTTCATTGTAGGACTACATTGGTATATTTTCATATGGGGGAAAGAAAAAGCTTGGTTTACAGTTACTGTGTTTTTATTGTGGCAAGATAAATTCTTACATGCCCTAGTTCTTTGTTTTTAAATTGCAGCTTTTTAGGTTATTTGTTTCTGTCTGCCATCATTTAAATTCCAAACTAATCCCAGGAACAATGAGCAAAATACACATTTCTCAGCTGAAAATGCTGGCCCCTATTGTTCTAATTTTTCAGAACTTTTTTGTGTGTGACTTACCTTAGTGCTCTGAATTCACTATATCTGTAGGATCCTGCCTTACCTTGATTTTATATCTTTTTGTTAGTATAAGGTGATAGTATCAAATGTGAGATTGCCTCTGATCTGTTAGATGTTACATGTAGCTAAGTTTTTCATTAGAGAGCAGAGAAATTTAACTGATATGAGAGAGAAATTTGATAGGCTTTTAAATGTAAATATTGTTCTTTAACAGCAACTTAAATCTCAGTCATTCATTTTAGGAAACTAAAAATTAAAAATTCAACAGGCAAGCATGAGTTGACTTTTATAGAGGATGAGCTTGGTTAACTTTATGTTCTTTAATGCACTTAAGGTGAATGTGTGTTACTGTATTTTATTTTAGTTTTGCTGGTTTCAAGGGTTTTTTGCTGGCCTAAAGAAAAGCTATCTTATATTTCACTGAGGTCAGTTGCCCTGAAGTAGCTTGTGGGCAATTTCTCAATATAGATCTGTTACAGAAGCATACAGGAGGAATTGGACAGTAAGGTAAATGTGAATCAAAATATAAATCTTTGAGTAAAGATAAATCACACTGTTGAGGGGAGAAATCAATACAGAATGAAGGTGTCTGGTAAAGCACAGATGTAAAAGTGTGTAGGCCTTTTCTCTCAGCATGAAAGCAAAGGTACTTTAAGAATGGTCCTGCCAGTGACTGGCTGTGATGGTCCCAGGAGCTGTCTTGAAGGTACCAGGCTTGTGTTCTGTATATGATGTGTATTCCACTTAAATAACAATGTGTTGTCCTGTGTCTTTCTCTTAGAAAACTACTGCTGCTACTTACTGACATGTATGTTCCATCCCTTCTCTGTCCAATTGTAGATGTACTCCAACAGAGTTGCTTTAAGTGACGAGTTCATCGCACTGCAGCCATTGTCCAGGGCCAGGAATCAGCTGAGCAAAATTAGGTAGAGTAGGAGGGACAGTTCCTCATCAACTCTTATGCATGCTTAAGGTGAACTAACCAGTGCTGAGAGAGATGGGAAGAGGCATGAATATATTTTAGTGGGGTGAGAGGGCAATACATGTAGTGCAGAAACATTCAGTTTGGTGATTTCTTGGCTTTGCTCTGTGTTTCTGAGCCAAATGCTTCTCCTAAGTAGCATGTGTTGGACCTTTTGTTTTTTTTAAAAGGAAAAAACATCCCTAGCATGATGTTCAACTTCCAGAATAAAGATCAGCTGTTCTTGCATCCATTTTTAAATAATCGTAGTTTCTAGCATGGTTATAATGCTTTTGGTTTCTTTATGATAAAAATTAACAGTGCATTTTGCATGCTGGATAATTTCAGCTTTATAAGGCTGTGACAGGAAGATCCATGTACTTCAGGCAGCAATTTCTTGCAAGTTATTTGCCCATTTTAATTTGCTTTCAATTGTGTCAAAAGAGCAGATAATGTTTGAAGCTTGGGTGCGTCCATACCCTTGTGCAGCTGAGGCTTTTTGTGTCTGTTTTGTGCGGCTATAAAGTGAGTGTTGTTTGTTTTCAATGTGTATAGATACATATTCCTAAAGGCATTTGGCTACAAAGTCCCAGAAAATTATTCAAAACAAGATCAAAGCATACATGTGTCTGTGTAGGTAAAACATGATTCTGCAACTCTTCAAATGCACTGAGTTCAGCAAATGAAATGCTGTCAAATGCTGATTCTCTTTTGTAAGACTTAAGCATACATCAGCAATGTCTCAGTCTGTATAATTCCACATCCTACAGCAAGAATCAATGCAAAAATCTGATTCCTTTTAAATATTTTTCAAGGTGACTTTGTTGTTAAAAATGTGCAAATAGGTGCCTAGGAGAACCAACTAACCTACATTTTAAGGACTTAATTGTTAAACCTGTTTATTAAACCAAAAGAGAAAAGTTTTGTATTTCCTCTGAGAGTGCACTACAACTTTACAAGGCAAAACTTGAAATGGCCATTGTGTTGTGTTGTTAGTGACCCCAGTGTGAAACACAACACCTTGGATTTCCAAACACCCAGGGGGATAGTGGTGGACTGGTTTTATTTT